CTCACTGCTATAATCCTAGCTACTCAGGATGCTGAATATCTGAGGATCTTGTTTTAAAGCAGCCCAGGTAAAAAAGTTTATGAGACTTGTATATCCAATTAATTACCAAATAAAAGCCAGAAGTGGAGGTATAGCTCAAATGGTAGACACTAGTCTAAACAACAAACACAAAATCTCAAAGACAATGCCCAGGACCAGCACAATATTAATAACAATCCTTCAGTAATTAAAACAAACCCATATTCAATAACCTACATTTGTCTAATGATAACTCTGTCATTCTGATTTGGGTTTCTATGTAAACACATTTCTAAGACACAGTTTGAATACTTTCTACTGAAAGTAGATGTTGAAAGCTTCAAAGTACCAAATATTATTATGGATCCTCAAAGCAAACCTAAGTTCTATTTTATTTTTTGCTTCAGATATTATTTTAAGTCTTCAGTACAAAAAAAATCTACATCAAATAAAAGCTACTGTTGCCAATTATAATTCAAGAGGTCATTCTTAGTACACAAAACTAAATCTAGGCTTCTATTGCTCAGATTACCATTTCACTATCACTGTTGCAGTGTTGAAATCAGTGCAATAAATGTGTGCAATAAAAATACAAAACAAAATCTGAGAAGTAGCCATTTATGAGTTTTTTTGGTTCATTTTTGTTTGGTAGTAATGAGATGTTTGAACCCTAGGCCTGGCACTTGCTTGGAAAGCCCTGTCAGCACCGAATTATGCCTGTGGCATTAATTTTGCTTCTATTTTATATGATAATGCTTCTCTCTCTGTCTAGTCCTGTGTCAGATCACAATCTATCTACACCAGGCCTCCCATTTTAGCTTAGATAACAGATGCACACCCAGCTCACCACTGAGGAGTTTGTTGTTGTTGTTGTTTTTTACAACTTTTCTTACTATGAATGTCCTCTAGGCATGATCCTCCAATCCCAGTCTCTTAACTGATGTAGACTGTAAGCATGAGCCATACATTGCTAGCTAGGAAGATGCATTTTAATGGCAATTACTCCATTTGGTAAGAATGTTTAAAGGAGTCACATCATACACTCCTGTGTAATAGCAGATGACAGATGAATGATAATTCTATTAACACTATTAGAAGGTTTTACAATACTAAAAAAGAATTTTCAGAGATTCGATCATCAAATACAATGGAAAGATATAATCAGAGAACTGTGTTTAGTTCCTTAACATTTACATCTATATCAAATATGCATTCTAAGGCATCATTTTCTTTCTTTCCCTTATATTAAGGTGCCAAGTTGGGTATCTATTTTTCAAATTATATTTCCAGAAGCAGAAGTACAATACTTACTTAACTACCAAATAGTTTTCTAGAGTGGGTACCAGGGATTCAAGCCTGTCATCCTACTCAGGAGGAGTAGATCTAAGGATTACAGTTGAATCCAACTGGCAGGAAATTTCATGAGACTCTTTATCTCGAATAAACTAGTGGTAGATTGATAGCCTTGAGCTAAAGAAGTTCAAGGACAACACCCAGGCCCTAAGTTCAAGACCCAGGAAAAACGCACATGTAAACACACACACACACACACACACACACACACCGTTTTCCTTCCCATCTCTGGGAAGTGTATTTTACTATGTTAGAAAAATCAAGTCATGCAATTCATTGAATTGAATGACTGCATAAATGCTAGTTGGACATTTTTTATTATGCAGATTTGGCTTATCCACTCATTAATTCTGTGGGTAAACTGACAGTGTGTTAGCATGTTCCTTACAGACCATATCAGCACATTATTTACCTGGACTTATTTTACAGAGATGATTCTACTGGGGTAATAGGGAATAAAAAAATATCATCACTTGACATTTGGTGAAGTTGAACCACAGTGGCTGACAGCCTCCATTCACTAGTATGTGCTTCAAGCAAATAATTCTAATGTTTCTACTGCAGGCAATTGCTGTTACTGAAGCGATTTGAAATTAAATTCTCACCTTTTCCTGATCATACTTCACAGCTAAACATATGTGAATCTATTTTATCATGAAAATATTGAGATGACTTAGAATCATTGTCAAATTAATAATCACTGTTCACCATAGTACTGAAGAAGACAGTGAATTTAAGGCTTGCTGGCTCTAGAACATTCCTAAAAATGGGCATGTGTGAATGTGTGTTGATGGATAGGGACTATAAATTCACCTTTGCTATTTTCCTTTTCTTCCTTAAGAGATAGGGTTGTTGTTTTAAGTTACCAGATATATAAATAATCCCATTGTACAAGAGTTATACTCATTTGATTATGAACAATGATGCCCAACTCTGGTCTGATAAACTATCCCATATCTTCTTAGCTGATTTCTGTGTTCATATTTCAGAATAAAGAAAAATAAATAAAACCATTACAAAATAAACAATGTATGTCATGAGAAAAATGTAAAGTGTGTTTGCTATAGTTCTTTGGAGGAATGTAGATTTAGAAGTACAAGACAGTCATCATTACTACTGGCCAGAACCTCTGGAGAGAAATCATTTTCCTCCTTATGCCAAAGGGCAGGGTGATCATCTTGGTGAAATGCATACTACCTCACTGACACTATCTTAGCTGTGACAACAGAAACAAGACAGGCATCTTGGTGAATACCAGGACATCCAACCATCATTATATTTGCAACAAGACAGATCACATAAAAATGACTTGGCTATTTTTAAATATTTAAAAAATAGTCAACTTCCACTTTCCATTATATATATATATATAATGGAAAGTGGAAGTTGACTATATATATATATATATATATATATAGTCAGCTTCTACTTTCCATTTTATATAGATAGATAGATAGATAGATAGATAGATAGATAGATAGATAGATAGAATTGCTTGAAATACCCCCATAAACATATGCTACATCATCATCAAAAACTATCTGGTTTCCTAGAAATGAATCATAAGGTACCTAAATCTCTTCACGTACAGTCAATATACACTTCCCATAAAAGGGAAACTATTTGCATACATCCTGAAAGTATACTTTCCTTCAACAAATGTCCTAAATGTCTCAAGGAAATGAGATGGGGAGATTTTTCTTCCAAATATGATGAACTTAAATAAAATTAGATTTCTTTGGTGATATAACACTTCACAGCAGACTTCTCTCTGACATTCCGGGGCTAGGGTGGGGGGCGGGGAGATGCTTTTATCTCTCCAAAAATACACTTGAAATACAGAACTCAGTACCAAGACTAAGGCCAAGCTGTTGAGACATGCTTATCAAGAGCTATGATGGATGTGTTTTTCATGAATGTTGTTTGAAGCTGGAGGACTAAACAAGTATCAGCAGCAGCAAATGCAACTTTCCATATGGGTCGTTTCTCACCTACAGTTTATGAAACAACTAAATGACGGAGTGACTCCATGGATAGGCAGGGCTGATACACAAGACAGATACTCTGTTTAAACGCAACGATTTCATCTCATGCAAACTAGTTTAGGTTGAAGTTGTCATAAGACATCATTCACACTTCAGTCAGCTAAAAACTGAACAGAATATAATGTCAAATACAATAGGAAGTCTTACAGTCTGAGGCAACATCTGGAGTATCTCCGTGCTCCGAATCCCCTGAGCAAAAGAATGGTAGGAGAGGTAGAACTATCTGGTTTGTTTATTCTGTCTGTCTGGTCCCTAGACTGGAAACTTTCCATGTCACATGTGCTCATGGTCAAGTGATCGTCCTGGCTACCTGACTTTCTTCTGCACTGTCCAATCAGACCCCTTCCTGGGACAGCTTCCTCATCTCTGATGTGCTCCATAAAGAGAGAGAACACTATATGCAAATCAACCATGAAACCGATTTCTTAAATACATATCTAAATTTATGCTTTATTATAACTGTGTCACCTTGGACTTACTATTATGACATAAAATGGCTGTGGCTTTGTATCGCTCTTGGGTATACTCACACATATTTGTGAAGTCATCTTAACAAATACTTGAGTGAATATTATGTGCAAGTAATGTCTTATTCGATATAGTCATTCCCCGAAGGTCATCAGCCTCTACATGTAATGTAAGAAATAGCTCTGGACAATTCAAACCATCATGTTTTGGGTTATATCCTTCTGAGATCAAGAAAATGCCTGGAGTGAGCCAACTACTCAGTCACTTTTCAATTAGAGGGGTCTGGCTGTCCCGTTCAGATCTATTCCTCCCTGGCTGGCCTCAGCAGTATACAACTGATGGGTGGTATCTGTCTGTACTAAGTAGGTATCAGTGGAAACAACTCTAGTCTATGTGCCTACTTACAACTTCCAGGTCAGTGACAAAAAGTCAAGGAATCACCCCAACACTCATTTAGACAGAACAGCCCAAGACTTTGGGGAAATAACCCTTATTTCTATATCCCTCTCTCCCAAGACTTAGCTGTTTGTCATGCCCTTACCTCCATTGGACTTCCAACTACCCTGCAAAAGGTAAGAAGTAGAGACTCTTCCCATCCAACAGAGTAAAGGATAGGCGAGAATAACAATTCCTAGTTTAGACTTCACTACCATGTTGTTTTACTTCATCTTCCTGAATGATATCCTTTACAAATTTACAACATCATTTCATGGTCAAATCTAGCAGAAGTTACCAAGGGTTGGACTTTACACTTTTTTTTTAAATTTCTGACCAGTTTTCCCCCCATGTTTCCATCTATATGGATACTAAGATGGATTTAAACTGAGCAAAAAAAAATATGCCTGGAAAAGAAATTCTGGAAAACAATGGCTGAGATTTTGGAAGTGATATACAAATGAGATTATAAATAAGAGTCCACACTTTATCACTTGATACAGTTGATCGTCTGTTGTTTCCTTTGGACTAGTTTTATTTAGGAACATGTTCTAGATTCTAATCTCTGCTATTTGGGCAATGTCGACAGGAAGAATCCCCAACATTAATACTTTTTGTCTAATGAAAGCTCACATTTGTGCCAGAATTCCCATCCACATTCAGAGAATACAGAATACTCACTTGTTTAGCCTTCGTCTTTGAAATTGTATCAGAAATAGGTTTCTTTCTCTCCTTTACAGCAGTTTTTGAAAATAATTCTTCAAATTCATGACAATCTATAGATGGCTCTTCAATTTTCTCCCAAATGAGTGAAGGACTGGAGTCTCTAAAATAAAGAAAAGAACACTGAAAGAGACATCAAACAGAACTGTAGAACGGCCTAGTTTATATAGAACTGTGAACATGATGAACTGGAAAGACAAGGAAAGGGAACGAAGGGAGGGAGGAGGAAGAGAAAAAAGGGGAAGGACTCCAAATGGGAGAAAGAAGGGGGAGAGAGGTAAGGAAGAAAACACTTTATCCACTTGACAAGGAAGTTAAAACACCATTCACATAGACTAAAATCTTTGCTTGGGAATGATTTGTAGGGATTCTCAGTTATCAAGTCTTTGTATAAAAACATAAAGGGAAAACTTCTTCTAGAATGGATTATGAAGGACTATGTGCTACCTCACAATCTGAACTTGACTAATTAGCAGGGTAGATTATTCCTGGACTTAACATATATGCATCTTCCAAAAGCACCCTTTCCTCAGTGGCTCCCACCAGCTCATAATTATGTAGAACCTCAATAAATATAGATTCTTGTAGTACTGCCAAAAAGAGCAAATTACTTTTCCCTTTTTTTTTTCTTCAGGTACTAAAATTGAAGTAAGGGGCTGCACCTCTTAATCCTTTGTATGCATTTAGTTTGTTTCTAAATCAAAGTCTTCTACTTTTGTCTAGGCTGGCCTCAGAGCACAATCCTTCTATATCCACCAATTGAGTCTCTGGATTCAGAAGCCAAAAAAAAGGTGGGGCTGGGATATGGCTCATGGTAGAGAGTAAAGACTTCTATAAACAGGACAAAATCAAGAATAAAGGCTGAGCCTTTTAAAGGATGGGAATGCCAGCCTCAGGTGTCAGTTTGCCTGTGGATTTGATTTTTATAAGTAAGCTTTTCACCAGAAGTAGACATTTAAATAGCGAAAGCCAAGAGTAGATTCTCCCATGGAAAATAATCACTTGGCAAATGGCTCTACCTATCTGCCCTCACTCAGCTTGTAGACAAACACTGTTTTGATTTAGGTGTGAGTAACATTTAAATCCAGCCACAAAGAGACATAGAATGTCCATTAAGAAAAACAGACTCCTCTATCCTTAGAGATGTATTCATATACAGGTGGATTGATGTACATCCCATACACTGATCCATACATAGATAGATGTTTTTTTGTTTTGCTTATTTGATAGCATTGGAGAAAAACCCGTGATTTTAAATAACACACTGTTTCATTAACTTACATAAAAATCTACAGGTAGGTTTTATGGCTCGTTTATAAAATACATTCCCCCAATTTTTAGTTACAATGAAAAGATGTGAAAAGATGAGCTAGTGTTTATGTTACCTTTTACTGTGGAGTTGAATCCTTGTCCAATAAAGAGGCTTCATTGGCCGACAAGGCTCTATTGGCTGCTTCCTACTCCCTCTGTCCTGACTCATCCCAAATCCAAACAAGCCAGTGGGCAGAGGAGGAAGAAGAAATCCACACACTTGTGGTGCTGATAAAGTGCTACTCCCAACTTGTGGGGAGAGTGTAGGTCCTGATCCAGGGAGCAGAGGAGGGGGTGGGGGTGGGGGTATTCCCGACCCAGGGGGAGGGGGAGCAGGTGGAACCCCCATACCTGGCAAAGGAGGAGGTGGAGGAACTGTAGCTCCAGGGAGAGCAAGGGGTGGGGGTATTCCCACTCCAGGGAGAGGGGGAGGGGGAGGTACTCCCACTCCAGGGAGAGGAGGGGGAGGGGGTATTCCCACTCCAGGCAGAGGAGGAGGAGGAGGAGGAGGAGGGGGTATCCCCATGCCAGGGAGAGGGGGAGGCGGAGGTACTTCCATTCCCGGGAGAGGGGGAGGTGGGGGTATTCCCATGCCAGGAAGAGGAGGAGCAGGGGGTATCCCCACTCCAGGGAGAGGGGGAGCAGGGGGTATTCCCACTCCAGGGAGAGGAGGAGGTGGAGGTACTTCCATTCCAGGAAGAGGAGGAGGAGGGGGTATTCCTACTCCAGGGAGAGGAGGGGGAGGGGGTATTTCCACTCCAGGGAGGGGTGGGGGTGGGGGTATACACGTTCCTGGGAGAGGAGGAGGATGAGGTATTCCCATTCCCGGGAGAGGAGGAGGAGGAGGTGGCAGCATTTGAGTACCAGGCAGAGGGGGGGGTTGGGGGATTGCTGTACTGGGTAGAACAGGCCCTGTCCCATCTGAGATGGAGGGAGGAGCAGACATAGCCATGTTCAAGCCAGGCATGGAACTAGAGGACTCCATGGAAGGCAGAGGCGGTGGAGGTGGAACAGTACATCTATTTTCCAAGGAAGAAGAAACAGAGTGATCATGGCTGGTTCCACCTTCAGTGTGAAGAGAAGGGTGGGACAGCAGTGACCCAGGCTGACCCTGACCATTTGTCCCTTGAGGAGATGTTGGTGGTAGAAGCTGTGATACAGTTGGTGTGGACTGATGGGAGTCAAACTGTACTGATATCCGTCTTGGAGACACAAGCAAAGAAATCTCTGAGCAGAATTTTGTTTGAGGTCCAGCAGGTAAATCTCCAGTCCCGGGTGGGCATGGAAGACCATGCAGTGCATTCCCTGGTGGCAAAGGCAGTCCCCCACCTTCTTCTGTTGGAGACGTCTGTATTGATTTTGCCTCTAAAACTCTCCGCTGCTGCAAATCCTTCCCTTCTATTCTGAGAGCTTCCAGACAGACAAGATCTGAAGGAGTGACTCCATTCTCAACCCCTTGATGGTTACTGGCCACCTCCATATCTGGTACGGGGTACTGCTTCTCCAGTTCAGCAATCTTGGTCCGCAGATCTTCAATGGTGCGTTCCAGCTGCTGAATGACAGTTGCCTGTCCTTCCGACTTTGTGTCAAAAACTTCCTGATAGACAACAGGAACAAGCATGGGTTAAACATACCATTTGAAATATCTATATTTATATCTCTATATGCATGTGTGCACACGTCTATATATCCATATCTATGCAAATGTATACATAGATATAGATATATAATTAAGCAAGATTCATTTGCTGGTTGCAAGCTCCCTGCACAGTAAGACCCTATGAGAATATCTATGTGGCCTCTATTCCATGTTCGAAGTTAAAAGTGGTTCACACCTGTTACCATAGCATCCAAAGGTCCTGGCCAGGCTCTTCTTCAAACAGTATCAATGAGGACCAGTAGACAACTGAAATTAGCAGACAATTCTGATTCTTTTCTAAAATAGACTTCTGTCTTTCCTTATGAGGGCATTCCCTAATGACCTCATAATTTTGAGTTCAAAAGGTAAGACCTTTCTTTGAAAAGGAAAATATCTGAGTCTCTAGTAAGAATGTGAGCGATGTGTTTGACCTCACAGAACGTGAATATATACAAATTATGCCATGGACACCATGATTACTGCAGTGATGGTATTTCATGCAAGGTATTTCAAAATGATGACTGATAGTCTTCATAAATTTATAAAGATAGGTTCTAACAGTCAAAATAATAAGAGGTACATATTTTTATGTAAGCATATACACAAACATATACACCTAGACACACGTGGCAAAAGCACACAAAATCTCTTAAACCACTATTTTTTCCATCAACATCTACTTAAAAGACTAAAAGTATTACAGTGCACAAATTGGAAAATTGTGTGAAATATCTCTAAATAGTCCATGGTAAAGGAAAGATTATTATGAACACATTTTACTCCCTGCTGAGCCACTATGCTTAATTTCATTCATTAAGTAGTCATCAAAAGACAAAACAATAGTAGCTAGTTGCTAGTGCAACTATCTAGTGTTTCTTTCTTATCTTGGACTAGTTAAATGTATAGATCATCTTATCTTTCTCAGCATATATTAAAAAGTGATTTTGAATTAATATTTGTTTAAAAGAAAAAGAACAGAATGTAATCCATGCTGCTACCCAGGTGCATGAGGCGTAGGAGCTTGCTCCCATCCTGCCCAAGGTGAAGATTTGAAGGGGATTATACATGTAATCCTCAAGTAGGGTGTCACTTTCAGGAAATAGGTATGAGGCCTGAATCCTAACCCAGACCCACACCTGGACCTATTGTTTGTCTTAATTCCCAGTATGGGATCCAGGAACCAGTGGTCTTTCCAGCAGCCCACTTACTGCCAAATTTCCCCAGGACATCGTATAATGAATTACTGGACTTGGGAGACCCCACCTAGACATGGGACCTTTAGGTAGATAACTGCTTAATGTGGCTTCCAACTGATCTTCTTGGAAGGTACGACCACTTTAAATGCAGTCAAGAAACAAATGCTGTATCTTAACAACATTAACAAGAGTGAGGGGATGTAAAAGAGGTGGCACTGATCAAGATCTATTGTATTCATAAACTTTTGTTAAATGGCAAACCTTTTGTATTACTTCTTAAAGATAAATTTTAAAAATAGAAATAGATAAAAGAAGGACACTGGCGGCCTCAGGCCAGTGACCTCAGAGAGTCACAAATCATAAATCCAGACCCAACCTGCATGCCAGATCTTGACTGAAGTCCAGTTCTCCCCCTGCCCTCCAAGCGCAAGGCTTCCTGGAGCAGCATGGCTGAACTCAGGCCTCAGAGCGAAGGTGCTGATTGGTTAGCAGGACCACAGGGCGGGGCCGAATCTTAAAATTCCATCAACTAAGCAAACCAAACAAAAGGGAAGCCCTCTTGGCTTGGAAACCCTGAGAGATGATGACTTGAAGTCTCATATGGGTTTGTTAAACAATCCTCTAATACTCTATTCCCAGGACCATTGTTCTTCACCATCCTCCCTCCTGGAACCATTGACATATGGTGAGAAAAACCCAACATCAATGGGAGAGGCAGGAAGAAGCTGGAATCACCAGGGTCCAGCTCAGCTCTCTCTCCATCCACCTTGACCAGTTCCGGACAACCAAAACTTTTCTGCGCATCTCGAGACCAACCAGAGACTGACTGTGGAACTTCTGGAGCTTGCTATTTTGAATTATTTAACTAGCCTTTCCTGAGTTATCCTGGCACAAAACAAAGGTTCTTATCGTCTAATGATTATTAAAGAAGAATGTTAACTGACCAATTGAATGCAGAAAGCAGATTTTTTTGGAAGAATTTTCCAAAATCCAGTTCTTAAATGTTACAACCCAGAGGGCCACTCGGTGTTCATCATAGATTTGAGTAAAAATAGTACAAAAACTCAGAGACAATTAGGAAACTAAATTCCACAAGGAAGAAAATGTTTATAAGTCACAATGGCCCCACTCAGGAGCAAGTGTTAAATTGCTTTTTTTTATATTAATACGTTTTTTTTACTGTGAAAATACCGTACAGAGGGGGAACAATTACATGAACAAGGTAATGAGTATATTTTTTATCAAGTAGTGTTGCCTCCTCCTTTGTTTCCCCTTACCATCCCCACCCCCAAGTGGTAAAGTTCGTTTTTTGACATAACATCTTGTACATATTGTTGCAATGGGTCCCCACCTGTATCCCTGTTTAAACAATTTGTTTTTTCCCTTCCCCTCCACAAATTATACGAACATCAAATACAGTGAAAACAGGGGTTATACTGTGGGGGAGGGACATACAAAGCAACAAAGAAATATCTTATAAATATGTTAGAAACAATAGCAAGAAAGAAAAACCATTTGAGTCCTTATCTTGGGGTTCATTTCACCTAACATCAACTTATCTGACCGTTTTTGCTTCTGCGTGGGTTTAGGCTATGTTGACGACACACGAAGCCAGTGACAACAGAGGTCATGGCACCAGAAACTGAGAAGATCCCTGGGATATTTATGCTAATTACATAGCCAAGTTGGCTAAAGGTGTAAGAGAAGCTTTCTAGATACAACTAGACCTGAAAAAGACCTCTGTGGGAGTGCCCATGAGCTGACAGGAATGCAGCCATCTTGACTCACACCAAAACCCTGCCTCTTAATTATCCTGGTGAGTTTCTCCTTCTTAGTTTCCCAGTATACTATAAATAGACATAACAGTGTAGTGGTTTATAGAGCTTTATGAGCAGACACTGGTTCCAGGAATGTTCCTGACTGATATTAACATGAGATAAACCAAGTATATTCTGTCTTGGATGAAGTCAATGTTCTGGCAAGTAGATAATACTTGCTTCTGACACAAATTGAGGGGATTCATGGCTGGTGTTGTCCAGGACCACGCTTTGTGCTTCTGCCAATATGTCACCAATCAATTATATTCTGGAATTCTGGATCTGGCTGCCTCCATCATACTTTGGGGCCAATTCCTTATACCTTGGGACCAGGTTGTTCTAAAGTTTTTTCAGGTAGAATCTCCTCCAGAGATTTTGGCAGTCAGTGACTTTTTAGCTTCTATGCCTTCTATATCTATAATAGTGAGAAGAAAATCCACATTTATAGACTCCCTTGCAGCTAGGTTCAACAAGTTCACCGTCATAGATATTCTTGCATCTGGACAATAACAATCTAAAAATTTGAAGTTTCACTGGAACAAGATTACAACGACCATTCTACAATTTGCTGTTGTGACATCATAGGTTTCAATCATAGACCATGACTGAAAAAAACTGTAAAGGTTCCAACATAGAGATTCTTTAAACATTCCATGAAAGAACTGTATTATTTTACCCTTCTGACTGATATGACTACATGTTTTCTGGTACCTAAAACAAAGGCTGATATACAGAGGTAACAAAATTTAAGAATAAATCGAAGGAAAAAAAAGATTGATTTTCCTAAAAAAGAAAGAAAGAAATTAAAAACCACCTAAAGCACTTTACGTAAGACAAGATTTGGGTTGAGGATGTAGCTCAGTAGTAAAGCATTTACCCAGCATGCATGAAGCCCTGGGTTTAGTCCTAGACTAAACAACAACAACAGAAGAAAAGCAAAAACTAAAACTAAAGCACAGACTGTAGTAAGGGTTGGTCCGTGTTAAGCTTTGGGATTGAATCTAATTTTAAAAGTGGTCAAATTTATTCATGTGTTTTTCTTATTTTAAGCAAAGGATAATTAAGAGTACTTAGATGACAAAAAGTTAAAAACAGGATACTGATAGACTCTGTAAGTTTCAATGGTTTTCCAATGCAAAATACAAGAGAAACAAAACTAAGAAGGGGCAAATAGTGTTGAGAGAGAAAAAAATTCCAAAACTCTGTTTATAATAAATGTAGCAATGCTATTATTTATGTATTTCCAGAAAGGTGCTAAAGTCCAAGAATTCTTGAAGGCAATAAACATGCTACAAAATAAAAGATAAAAAATTTTTGCCTTTTTTTTTTAATAGTGCCAGTATTTGGGCTTAATTCCCACGCAGGAGGCACTCTACCATTTAAATCATGCCTCCTGTCCCAGGCTTCTTTGCGGGGTTTTTTTGGTCATGTTGCTTGAACTTTGGGCCTAGTGCTCTTCAGCTCAAGGTGAGCACTTTACCACTTGAGCCACAGCGCCATTTCCAGTTGTAGAGTGGTTTATTGGAGATAAGAGTCTCATAGAGTTTCCTGCCCGGGCTGAGTCTGAACCATGATTCTTAGATCTCAGCCTCCTGAGTAGCTAGGATTACAGGCATGAGCCACCGGTCCTCAGCACTTCTTTGCTTATTAATTAGAGATGAGAGTCTCCAGAATTTGTCTGGGCTGACTCAAACCACTATGATTAGATTTACATTTCTTGACTAGAATTATAGTTGTGAGCCATCTGCACTCAGAGAATTCTTCTATACAGGTAAGTTTAAGTTTAGAAAACATAAAGGAAAAACTGAAGTGCGTGATTAACTGCTGTTTTACATAATTAATACGTAGGGAAAGCAAAAAAAATCCATTTTCTGGCCTTTCACTTCCCCTGATTTATCTTTACCTGCTTAAAAAATGAATAATACCCTCTTCCTTTTGCATTCCA